GAACTATATACTGCAAAAATCAAGGGGTTTCAGAAGCATATTTTTGGTGTTTTTTATTGCTTTCCAGATGGAAAGAACTAATGTGATTGAGTAGGATTTTTGATTACTATGTAGTTTTTAGAGAGATCTTTGTCTTTTGAGAAATGACATAATTATCAGCATCTTCATAAAGCATTTATTACTAATGTTATTGGCCAGAAAATTTTGGGTAATGGTATAATTCCTACATCATTAAAATAATTTTCCAAGAGTAATGCTTTTCTTCTGGCTTCTAGAGTGTTTCTATGAAAATAAGCAATTTCAAGTACCCTAAAGTTCACCCTCTGTTTTTGATCTGTCCAAAGTAACACCTCAAATGAAGACTGTCACCTTCTGGCATTCTCCTGACATACTAATAGATTACTAAAAGATAAAATACTTAAAACAAATTAAAATCAAATTTTGAGATGATACTTATGTTGTACGTGGTTCTTCCCTATCTAGCCCATGGCAGCATCTTTATCAGTGATTGGATTAATAACATACCTGTCACATTTGCTTATGGTCATGTATTTTGACATTGTATGCTATATTCTGAATTTAACAAAATTTGCACAAACTTAAATGATGGGTTGAAGTTATAATTTTCATATAGCGCTTACTAGCTACCAGATACCACTCTAACCACTACATATATATTTTTAGCCTTACAATAAACCTCAAACCAGATACATTTGCAAAGAAGCAAAATTTACAAGATTCCTTATATGAACTTTAAAATACAACTGTGAGAGTACACTCAGAAGTGAAAAATGTTACTTATTGCTAATCCATAGTAAGGTGTGGTTGACAAAAGAGCCCCTGTGATTCTTAGTTTTATTAATGGAAAGATATATGAGAGATATATTGCTCTTTCATTCAGCAACAACTATTTATTGAATGAAGGTCAGATACATTTCTTACAGACCCTACCTAGATATTGGTGTTTGGTTCCCTATTTAGTGACACTTTGAGCAAGGGAACAGATTGAGAGAAAAGAGTAAGCTGGCCAACGAATTCAAAATTTTGATTGGAGGGACAAAGAGGTAGAGGGTGGTGATTGGCTTGGAATAAAAAAATAGACAATGGTGTAAAAGTTGACAGTTGATGACAGTCTTCAGATAACTGAGGTTTGTCACTTTCGGAGAAGAATTGACTTCTGTGTGAATTTAAGTATAGACATTGGACCAGAGAGTAGATGATACAGAGAGAAAAATTTGGATCTGATAGAAAGACTGTTGAAGTATCAGAACTCCATTTAAAATGAAATGGAACTGTATCTTAAGTAGTTAATGTTTTGTAACCCCAAGAGATTCAAACTTTAGGTATCTGGTTAGACTAAATGGCCTGTATAGTCCTTCCATCCAAAAGAGTTTAATTCTTTTAATGACTCTTCATCACTCAGTGGAGAGCAAAAAGCATTGCAGGCATTTTGGGAAAGCACATGCACATTCACACATTCTTTTCAATAACCTGTGGTTTGCTGCCATGCCCACCCATGGAATACTAATTTCCTGTACTGCTGTTAAATCCTGTTCTTTGTTCACAATTGAATGGTTAGGAGGGAGTACAAAAAAGAGGATCTATCTCTTTTCATTTCTTTGCACATCCAGCCATTACAGCTTTTCTAGTTCTGTAGATACTAGAATCTCGTGTGTGTGTGTGTGTGTGTGTGTGTGTGTGTGTGAGAGAGAGAGAGAGAGAGAGAGACAGAGAGAGAGGGAGAGAGGGAGAGAGGGAGAGAGACCGACCTTTTAAAAGATGTGTGTGGGGCAGGCTTCAGGTAGCCTGTCCTTGTAAAAATCTTCTGTGTTAAATGTTGTATCAAGGATATAAAAGTATATGAACAAGTTTCAGTTACTTTAAGGGAGATAGAAAATTGGAGTCCTGTAGTAGAAGAAATTTGTTTTCCTGAATGATAAACACATTTTGGGAAATAATTCGTGTAGCATTTTTCTTACCAAGAATCAATTATGGTTGAGGGATGTTCTTCCCATTAGTATAGTTGGATAAAAGTTTTGCCATATCCATCTTCAGCCTTTGAAAGATTTCTTCTGACTGAGCACACATGTTTGAAAATATGTGGGGTATTTCATTTCTTGAGAGGTAGTGTGTGTAACAGTTAAAAATACAGACCTAGAAACTGACTATATTTAAATTACAGATGGGAGACCTTCAGCAAGGTACTTAATCTTCCTTTCTCTCAATCTAGCCATCTATTTAATAGGGGTATGAATAGTAGTACCTGCTTTAGAGATCGTTGTGAGGCTAAGTTAATATTCAGTAATATGTAAAATGGTTACTGTAGCAAGTAAGCGCTATATAAAGCTTAACTGTTGTTATTTAATATGCCTATATGAATACATTTTTCTACTTAGCTTCAAAGCTGAAATCTTAGTTATAAAAAATTATTGTATGTTCAAATAACCACAAATTTTGTGTGTTAGTGGCTCAGCTGTATGTTAATATTAGGAGTGTCATTGAAACACTTATCTTTAAAAGCCACTAAAGAAAAGTCTTATACTATCCAGAAACCTCCTTGAATAATATGTAATCTCAGTTTTTGTTAAAAATCCTAGCAGAGCATTGGAAAATAATGGTAAGAAAAGTACTCACCTATAGTAAACTATTAAAACTGTGGGAAAACTTTGTCCATAATTTTTTTTTAAGTGAATGGATTAGTTTCCTTTCTTTCCCCACCATAAACATGTTTTTCCAGCAATAAGTACTTTGAAAATGTACTTGATGATAATATAGCCAAAAGTGGATTATCACCTGTTCCCATTTGATACTCTCCTCATCTTGGCTGCCCTTTAGAGTTGATGGAAGAGGATATTATAGGGTTAATCTATTTATCTACTGTGTCTAACATCTGTAATACTCAATAAATTGAGCAGATGAATGACTCCTGATAAATTGTTATAAAAATGATTATTTATTCCTGAAATGTTCTTGCAACTCACATACATTGATGAATAATAGATTCTATCTGCTATGTAATTAAGATAAGTGAAGTTCAGTGTGAAAAGTTTACTAGTTCAGTGTCCCTGGTTGCAACCAACAGAAATTCTTATGTCTGTCACTGAAATTGTGTCAGTGGAGATAATTGGAAGACTACTGCTCTCCTGTGGCCCAGCCCAGGTTTCTGTGTTACCTACTTTGTCTCTAGTACTTTCTTCTCATCTCCATCAACTATTCTCTGGCCTTTCCCATCTGGTTTCCCCATTCACTACATTCTTAGGCTATACCTTACTGTCCTTTTCGTTTAAGTGACTTAACCTCTTTAGTGCTTTTCTTTACCCTGGGGTATGAAGGCTGAATGGGAATGTGCCTCAGGCACTGGATCCCAGTTCTAATTCAGAGCAAGATGTAAAGTTACTACTTCTACCACCTGTGGGTAGCTTAATGATCAAGAATAGGACTGAATAGGACCTGAATGATTCCAAAGGTCAAAGCTCAACTTTGCTTTTATTTGGACCAGTAGCAGCACATCTGGAATTGTGAGGCAACTCAAATTTTGGAGCTAAAGCACATATTTAGACTGTTGTTATGATTTCAAAACTATAAAGTGGCCTCTTTTATGCCTAGATAGTTGAAAAATGCAGGTTTCTGCCATGAAGAGTCTGATATATGTTGAAAACTTTAAAATGACAAATGGCACTTTTATTACTAGTTCTTACCTCCGTTGAAGCTAGAGATTGCATCCTAGAGAAGCTAAACAACTATCATGTAATGGCCATCCATGAACAAGGAGTAGGAATCAGTAGTCCCAATTGTACTTGTGCCATTAAGCAGACTCCTTTCAAGCTGTTACAACTGTGGCTAGTATTAGAATTTTTTTTTGCCACTAGATTTATTTATTTTCAACTAATTGTGATTTGATTCTTCAGTTCCATGTGTTCTTGAATTCTCAAGTGGAGAATTGTCATTCTGATTTTCTAATCTTCCTCCTTCTATTATTACTAAATAGATATTTTTGTTGAGCTGCATGCTATGTCCTACCCCTTCCTACTGATCTATAAGCTTTTCCATTGGCTTTCTTTCTGTTTCCTGCTGCTTTCTTGCTTCATAATTGAAGGGAGGATTCAGACCTATCCAGGTAACAAACTACTGGTTCTGCATGGCCTCTTTTTTACTCTGTCCCCTTATTATTATTATTGCAATGTGACTGTTTGCTGCTGAATTTACAGTGGGAATTTAATATTGGTATATTGTTTTAAGGCTTTTAAATCTGCAGTGAGAACCATAAATAACCACAAGTACTGGTTGCCATTTGAGAGATTTGAGCTCTGCTCCTTCCAGGCCATCCTTAAGCCTTTCTAGATCTCTGGTTTTTATTGCAGACTACGTGAGAAAACAAAATTGGGCTCCTTTTATTAGGCAGTTGCCACTTTTTGAAAAGGAAGGCTTTTATCATCATGGGACAATCAGCATGTGACAACCTACAGAGAGTTTTAATTTAACTTAACCCCTGATACACTGAGACAAAAATTTTATGTCCAGAGAAATTCTTGCTCTTCTAAATATTTTGTAAATTACTTAAATGTTAGTTTTTTTTTAAAGAAACTACTTTTAATTTTTAATACGTTAATAATAAGCCACCTGCTCTTTATGAAAGAATCAGTGCTTTTATACAACAAAACAAATTTCAGAGAGACACCAGCTACTTCCTTTTATTATATTTTATTACACATTTTAAAATGATTAATTACGGTTTGGAATGTTTAGTTTAAATTAGCTGAGACTTCATTTTAAAAATTAGATTGCTCTCCTGTTTTGAAAACTTAACCTAGTGTGACTAGTACAGAATATTTTTTGTGAACCCAGCCATAGGCAGTTTAGTCTCTTTTTATGTATATTGTATTTCTAATTTAAGTCGATAAAATTTTTATTAGTGGAAAGGAGAAAGTTCAAGATAGTAAAATTTACTTATTCCCCTTTGTAAAATAAATAAATAAATCTTTTTTTTTTCCCTTCCCCAGTTTTTCCAGAGGCCTCAAATACAGCCTCCTAGAGCCACCATCCCGAACAGCAGTCCTTCTATTCGTCCTGGTGCCCAGACACCCACTGCAGTGTATCAGGCCAATCAGCACATCATGATGGTTAACCATCTGCCCATGCCGTACCCAGTGCCCCAGGGTCCTCAGTATTGTATACCACAGGTAAAGTATCTCTCAGATCGATGTGGTCCTGCAGTAGAGTGAGAATTAACCCAGATTCTCATCAGAGGGAGCAGGGAAAGTGGATGATGGCATTAGTGTCTAAACTTCTGTTGGTTAGCAGTCTAGTCATTTTGTCATTTTTCATAATATAAAATATATATTTCTACATCTCTCTACTTAAAACTTTCTAAGATGATACAGAAATTCTTTTATCCCCTAGCTTTCCTCCCATCCTTCCCCATCAGCTGCTCTGAAAAAAAGGCTTAGTAATTAAGCTGTTCCTATGATATGATTCAATGTCAGTGAAAGCTACCAACCTGAAATAACTTTACAATGAGCTAATGTCTGCCTGTGCACTGATTTGCTTTATGGCTTTACTGAAGACACACCTTTCCCTTCATCATCATTGCATCTTGATGGCAAGCAAGCATTTCGAATGTGTTGAACTAAATGGCTTAACCTCATTGAAATGATTTTCTTATACACACACAAACAACTTTATTTTTCCATTGTAAGCTACCTTCATATTATTCATAAATGTCTAATTTCTCTCTTCTAGTACCGTCATAGCGGCCCTCCTTATGTTGGGCCCCCACAACAGTATCCAGTTCAACCCCCGGGGCCAGGTCCTTTTTATCCCGGACCAGGACCTGGGGACTTCCCCAATGCTTACGGTAAGTATGAAAAATTGACCAGTTTCTGCTAGTTTCTTGTATTTAATCTTTTGTTGTTTGACAGTTCAGTTTAGGCAATGAGGTTTAGTTGTCTGAAGTTATTTATTTATTTTTTTTAATTTATTTATTTTTGTTACAGCTGTTTACCCCTTTTCCCCCCACTGATTCCCCCCTCCCTCTCCCTCCCTGCCCTGTCCCCAGCTTTGTTGTCCATGTCCACTGTTCATGCATACATGCATATAAGTTCTGTGGTTTATCTCCCCCGCCACTCCCTCTTCTGGGGATTGTCAGTCTGTACCCCACTTCCACGGCTCTGGGACTACCCCATTCCTCAGACTGTTATGTTCATTATATTCCACAAATAAGTGAGATCATATGATACTTGTCTTTCTCTGTTTGGCTTGTTTCGCTTAGGATAATACTTTCCAGGTTCCTCCATGTTGTCTCAAAGGATAAAAGATCTTACTTTCTTACAGCTGCATAATACTCCATTGTGTATATGTACCACAGCTTTTTTATACATCCGTCTACTGCTGGACATTTGGGCTGTTTCCAGATCTTAGCTATTGTAGATAGTGCTGCTATGAATGTGGGGGTCCATATATTCTTTCTGATTTGTTGATGGCAGCCATTCTGACAGGTGTTGTTGTTTTAATTTGCATCTCTCTGATGATTAGTGATGTTGAACATTTCTTCATATGTCTCTTAGCCATTTGTATATTCTGTGTGGAGAGGTGTCTATTTAGGTCCTCTGCCCATTTTTCAATTGGGTTCTTTGTTTTCCTTTTGTTGAGTTGTATGAATACTCTATATATATTGGAAATTAACCTCTTATCTGATGTATCATTGGCAATTATGCTCTTCCATACAGTGGGTTGCCTTTCCATTTTGGTGATTGTGTCTTTTGCTGTGCAGAAGCTTTTGAGTTTGATGTAGTCCCTTGTGTTCATTTTCTCCTTTGTTTCTGTTGCCTTAGGTGATATATCAGTGAAAATTCTGCTGCGTATGATGTCTGAAATTTTGTTGCCTACATTTTCTTCTAGGATTTTTATGGATTCATGAGTCACATTCAAATCTTTTGTCCATTTTGAGTTTATTCTGAAGTTATTTGTAGATAAAATATTATAAACAGTTTTGACCTGAAAGCTACTTCTTAGAGAGTGGCTTAAAAGGAAAGAGTATCATAGAAATGTATTTAGTTAATGACACTTTCTGCAGGAGTTGGTAATTCTGTTGCAAAGAGCCCATGTGTCAAGGTTTATGGTATCTGCTACCAAGTCATCATACCTAGATTTTTTGCTGATGGCACAAATATACCTTATCTTCCTTCTCCAAGCATTTACCACCATTTACCAAAACATTTGTTTATCTTTTCCCATTTAAATGTTTCCCATGTAACATTCAGGAAGGCAGGGAATTTTCTTTTGTTCATCGCCGTATTCCCTAGCACCTAGAACAGTGATGGGATGACTGAATGTAACTCAGTTTACCTGCAATTTTTTTCCTGCAAAATTGTGATAAGATCTACGTCATGGCGCCCTGGCTGGTTTGGCTCAGTGTTTGGAGTGTCGACCCACGCACCAATGAGTCATGGGTTCGATTCTGGTCAAGGGCATGTACCTGGGTTGCGGTTCGTCCCCCGCCCTGGTCCTAGTCCTGGGGGGGTGGGGCAGCCAATTGATGTGTCTCTCTGTCTCTCTGTCCCTCTCTCTCTCCCCCTCTTCACCTCCCCCCCTTCCTTACTCCTTCCCACTCTATCTGAAGATCAATAAAAAAAATGTCCTCAGGTGGTGATTTAAAAAGAAAAAGATCTATGTCATGGGGAAGTTTTGAGGATTAGTTAAATGTAAATGCCTTGAAAAATTACAAGTGTTTTTAATGTATAGAAATAAGTGCCATGTATATATACTTTATATGTGAACCAAAACTTAGGAGTAATGGAAACAAATTATTTTATTCAGTCAATAAATTTCTGTCATATATTATACTTGTTTTATTCCATAGAAAGTGAATTATAAGGGTAAAATGAGCAAATCCTAGAAAAATTAAGCTTTAAGATTCAGTAAGCATTTATCTTTTTTACTAAAGGACATATTAAAATTTTAACTTGTTCTTTTAACATGGTAATCTATTATAGGTAAACATGTATCCACTAACCAATTTCTTAACATTGGGATTTAATGATTCAGTCAAGAACCTATACAATAGAATTGATTAATATTAGAATAGCCCAAGACAGTTTTCCTTAGGTTTTTGAGGTAAAATAGGCAAAGCAACCAAGTGTTACTTCTTTTAGAAATCAGACAACCTTTCTATTACGTTGGTCAGTATACATTATGAAATTGCCATTTTAAAATCATTTATTTCTGTAGTTCATGAAATGTCACATATATATGTTTATTTAAAATGGCTTTATGAAATTGTATTTTCACTGAGAAATATTTGATACTTTCAGAACTATACACGTTATATACATATATATGCGCATGAGTTTTAACGTAAAATAATATATGTGCATTACTCAGCTTAGACATTTTCCAGTACTGTTGAAGTGTTCCTTGTGTACCCTTAGAACTCAGCTTCAGGTTTGTTTTCACACAATTCTGGTGCCTTTGTATTGGTACTTATTCTGAAAACTTAAATCCAATTAAATTATTTTTAGTGTAAAATTGGCTGTTGGTGTTAGCTAGAATTTATTCTATAAAACTATAAGATGAGCCCACCTGGTGTGGCTCAGTGGTTGAGTGTCGACCCATGCACCAAGAGGTCGCCCGTTTGATTCCCAGTCAGAGCACATACCCAGGTTGTGGGCCTGATCCCCGGTGGGGGGCACGCAGGAGGCAGCCAGTCGACGTTCTCGCTCATCGATGTTTTTATCTCTCTCTCTCTCTCCCTTCCCTTCCTTTCTCTCTAAAATCAATAAAGAAAAAAAAGTTTAAAAAAAAAAACCTGTAAGATGAAATTATCACAGTAAACATGCTAACATTAATATTTCTCTTTCAATTCCATGTTGCAAAGGGAATACAATTATATCTAATTTATAAAATTATGTTGGAAGCTGTCTCACTGAATTCTAGTCTGTTCTGTATTTATAACATATAAATGACTTGTTGACTGAGAAAATGTCTTCATTAAAATCTTTATATGTCTGTGTTAGCCCTCTTTATTGCTCTTAATACTACTGCTCTGCAGTATATATAGAAACAATGTAGATGAATTTACTAGTAGGGAAATAGTTTGCTGATTTATATATACAATGTTATAACATATGTTGGCTTTATTTCTATTACATATAGATTACATTTGCTTATTTTTACAAGAAACCAGTACGTTGAAATGCCGTTGTACCTCAGATATTGTTGATGTGTGTTTCTTTTGATAGATAATTTTATTATAAAGAAATTTCTTATGCAGATCCATCTAGTTGCCATCCTGTTGGCAGTTTCTCACCTAGATTAAAACACTAACTCCCCAGCTTCATTAGATTAGAAAAAGTCTTTAAAATAATTTTTCCTTATGAAAGTAATCAAGTTAATGATGAAAAGTACAAATAATATTGAAAATGTAAAGTTGAAATAGCCAGTTTTCCTCCTTCCCCACTCCCTGAAGGAGTTGAGATTGATACATATTTTTTCATTTACATTTAAACAATTTTAACACAAATACACATTGTTTATAATGCTCTAAAACTTAGTGGCTTTTTAAAAATATATTTTAGAGAGAGAGGAAAGGAGAGAGAGAGAGAAACATCGATGAGAGGGAACATTGATTGGCCTCTTCCTGCATATCCTCCACTGGGGATTGGGCTTACAACCTTGTTGTATGCCCTGACCGGGAATCGAACCCGCGACCTCTTGGTGCATGGGTTGATACTCAACCAGTGAGCCACACCGGCTGTGCCTTAGTGGCTTTTTAAAAATATCATTATATTCATGGACATCTTTCTATTTCAATAGCTATAGAATTTCAAGATGCATAGTATTTTATTTCAGGAGTAAATGATAATTTATTTTTTTTTTTTTATTTTTTTTTATCTTCACCCAAGGACATTTTTTTCCATTTTTTGCACAGATAATGTGGGAGGGAGAGAGAGAGAGAGAGAGAAACATCGACGTGAAAGGGACACATCGAGTGGCTGCCACCCGCACGACCAACCAGGGCCGGGGACAAACTGCAACCGAGGTACATGCCCTTAGCGGGAACCGAACCCGGGTCTCTCCGGACTGCAGGCCAATGCTCTAACCGCTGAGCCAAACCGGCCAGGGCAGTAAATGATAATTTATTAACCCAGTCTTCTACTAATAGAAGTTTAGATTATTTTCATTATTTTGGAAGATATTTTAAGGTTTGTCACTAGTTAATATGTTTTTATCCAAATTAAAAGTTCTTTTCTAGTCCTGACCGGTTTGGCTCAGTAGTTAGAATGTTGGCCTGCGGTCCAGAGAGACCTGGGTTTGGTTCTCGCTAAGGGCATGTACCTTGGTTGCAGTTTGTCCCGGCCCTGGTTGGGTCGTGCGGGTGGCAGCCACTCGAATTCCTTTCACGTCGACGTTTCTCGCTCTCTCTCTCTCCCTCCTGCTCTATCTGAACAAAAAATGGAAAAATGTCCTCAGGTGAGGATAAAAAAAAAAATTCTTTTCTAGCTCCTGTCACTTATATGTCTTTCAGTTATGCCACTTTGGGGCAACCATCCTCGTTTGACGGTCTAGAAGCCATAAACATTCCACTTCCTATTTCCTCTTCCTGGAATCTCTCCTACGCTTAACCTTTTCAATTTTAGTTCTGATCTTTTTTTTTTCCGTTGTTTTTGTTCAGATAGAGTGGGAGGAAGAGAGAGAGAGAGAGAGGGAGAGAGACATCGACATGAAAGGGACACATCGAGTGGTCGCCACCTACACCACCCAACCAGGGCCGGGGACAAACTGCATCCGAGGTACATGCCCCCAGCGGGAACCAAACCTGGGTCTCTCTGGACTGCAGGCCGAAGCTATAACCACTGA